TAGTGTTGGAATGGTCCATGCAGCCACCCAAGGCAAGAACGACGCGTGACGAGAGGCGTGAGCATCTCGTACTCGGACTGGTGGAGTGTCCAGAGAGGCATCCGCCCAAGGAGACATGCAGAGTGTGCATACCTGATACCTTCGTCGTACCCTGGTTCGACCAATTGCGCCAGGGTGATTGAGAATAGGTGTCCGAGCTGGCGGAGACTCCCCACAACAGATTTGAGTAAAAGAGAAGATGATCGGTTATCATGTCGGCGAAGGCTTGATGTGCAAGAATGAATGCGCACGCAACACATTCTTTGACTCCCCTCGCATCTCTCAGCTGGACCAATGATGAGAGCGCAGTTTCAGGATAGCTGTGCAGGCGGAGAAAGTCTCCCAGAGCGCAAATGAAGTTCTCCTGAAAGGAAGACTCGTCAAAACATCGGGATTGCTGACCCACTGGCACGGCAAGAGAAACAGCACAGCGTTGCTTGCGGTTCCCGTCAGGTCGCGCATATACCCCGCTCCAAAGGCATAGTAAGGTGCTCGCATGAGATGGAACCCCACGCCAAGTGAATAAGGAATAGGACCCGACAGGAACACACCCACCACAATGTGCGATATCCGCTCATCGCACATGGCGAAAATGCGTTAAACATGGGCGCCGACAGACGTGGGTCCAGGCAACGCTTGGGAACCAGGTCGAACTTCAACCAACTACATATAAACAGTGCTAGAATTCGCGACTTGTCCGTTGTTGAGCAGGATGTGGAAAGCGCCGCTAATTTCGCGAATATATGCGGCCATGACAGTCCCACACTGAGTCCTAAAGGATACAGAGAACCACTCCTGTGGTAGTAGGCGTCGCATCGGGTCAGTGGCCTGAGAAGCGCGCCCGATCTCGCGTCCATCCACGCAAGTAACAACCATCACCTTCCAGCATGGAGATAGAGTAGTTGAGGCCTGAGAGGAGGGCCAGCGAAGAGCTTCTCGAGGCGCGTCCAAGGGACCCCCCAAAGCATCAACGTGTACGGAATGAGAGCGTGTTAGGTGTGGGGGTCGTGTAGCGCAGCGATGAGAGCACGTCCCCTGTCGATCCTGCGAAACAGAGGCAGAAGACAAGAACCATTCTATCGTGCAAGAAGCCAAAAAACGTGTTCCGCCATCGCTCTCACATTAAACAGGCAAGCCAATGGAAATTGGGGCGTTTGTAAGGGGCGGTGCAGATTCACGAAGAGTCCCGAGAAACCGGAGTGCTCGACAGGATGAGAAGCCATAAGCGAGTCGCCCTCCCACGGAGAAGCCTGCATTTTGCCGTGAGGTAGAGCAGCTTTCCAGGACTTCGATACTGAAGGACTGTGGCAAGACGTGATGGAACGGTCCGGGCCATTACGAGTATCAGGTAGCGTCGGACGCCCAAGGATAATATGTGAGCGCAGGAAAGCTCGCAGCCCAAGGTGCAGAGCTAGCGACAAATCCTCTTGGATCCGGAGGCGACTTAAGATGAGCTGGAGGAGTTAGTCGCAGTTTCCACCTCCGTAAGAATTCTGTATAACCATCCGGGCGACGAGCGCGCTTTCCAGAGGTATGCCCACCGCGTCTGCAATCCTGCTACCATATGTCTCCATCCATCGCGCCTAGGACTGTGGAGCTCATTCGCGGTTGATCTAGGAGCGCCGGTAATGCCGCCAAATCCTGCAGTGGGGCCATAACTGTTTTCCCGCTTGACAAAGCCCAAGCCCTAGCATGTAGCCTTCCGCACCTGGAGAGACCTGGAGAGCGTGTACAGACCCGCTGGGGATCGGGAAGTGGGAGCTTCCAAGGTTGTGGTAGCGATATTGAACACTTCAGCGGATTGAGACCGAAAGTCTATCATAGCTCAGCCTGAGAGCGGTCCAAGCCGAGATGCCGATGTTCAGCTAGTAGTAGGCTGGGCTAGGTGGAACTTGACCCCGGTTCGAGTTTCCGTATGAGCGACATTTGCCCGGATGCAAAAGGGACACCTAGAACAGTGGTTACACCTTGCGATCGGAGTAGACTGAGCCATGCTAGAAGAGAAGAATGAGGCCTTTAGACTTGAATCGCAGTAAGAACGTAAAGGAAGGATGCGGGATGGCTTAGGGCGGGTAATGCTTAAGCACAATGAAAACAACCTATCACAGGCGTTACAAAGCCCATTCGCGCTGCTCGCCAATCCTCGGGTCCCTATGTGCAACGCCTCGAGGTTCCAGGGCCACCCCTCCTTGTGAATAGTAGCACTCGCCTGTAAATAGTCATTTCGCGAGTGCTCGGGGATAAGAGTATTGTCCGTTGAGACACGATTGGTCCTCGCACCGTGATCCCGCAGGGCAGCACCCGTCTTGATCTCCGACGCCTTGAATAACCCAGCGTCCCATTGCTGGCTCGAGAAGATCATCTCTCGAACGTTCCCAGGCACGACACCCAAAATTTCAAGACGACCTGTTCGACACGCGTCGAGAGTAATCTCGAAGAACGGTCAGAGGGACAAGTTTAGCACGGTACATCGGTCTATTATTGCATATTCCGCATATCCCGGCGGCTTGAGAAAGTACCCCGCCTCGCCATAGGTTGCCTGTCAGTAAGCGATCCGAAAAGCGTGTCCGTGTACGTTCGCGCCTGTAATGAATTGTTGACTGAGGGAGGACTCTGAGTAGATCACGGGTAGGCAACTCAGAGAAACCCGACGAGTTTCCCAGCTCTTGCATTGCGCTGGAATAGCAATCGAGAAACAAACGCAGCCATTAGAGCTCGGACGAAGCTGAGGCGTGTTTCTGTCGACAGAGCATGGAAAAAGTAGTTCTGCACAGAATGTGTGGCAGAGCAGTCGCAAAATTAAACATGCAGGTTGCTATATTCGGTAGTACCACGTGGAGGGCGCCAATGACAGAATGACAAAGGTTGCCGGCTTTTTATTAGCATTTAAGCCAGCCGCGTTTCCTCCCTTACTCTTGCTTCACTGCATACACCCTACCCGACGTTGCCCTCCATGTCCGCCCCAGCCGTCGCTCTCCCCTCCAGACAAAACCCCTCAGAAGGCGGCACCCTCACCATCCGCCCACCTGTGTGGTCAATCGACCACTCCGACGCCCCCCAACCCACACCTCTCCCAGCCAAATGCGCGCGGCATGAGCTCGGCCGCGAGGGCGTCTGCTGCAAAGAGCTGAAAGATGAAGACGAGCGAACGTTGATCGACCCAGACGTCGTCCGCGATGTGTGAGTACCGCCCCGGTCACGCCGACCCATGTATTTCTGACCTTTTCCCCAGCGTAATTGGCCTTTCTGACGGCCTGACCGTCCCCTTCGCCCTCACCGCCGGCCTCTCGTCCCTCGGCAACTCGCGCGTCGTCGTCCTGGGCGGCGTCGCGGAGCTCATCGCTGGCGCGATCAGCATGGGCATTGGCGGCTTCCTCGCGAGCCAGGCCGAGGGCGACCACTACCGCTTCCAGGCGAAACATACCGCCGCGCGCGTCGTCCGCTCGTGCGCAGGCGAGATGGAGCGCGAGGTGCACGCTATCCTGGGCCCGGTCGGCGTCGACGAGTCCCTCTCAAGACAGGTCGCGAACTGCCTGAGGGAAGTCGAGGTCGGCTCGGATGCGGGGTACAGCTCGAGCGCTTCCTCAGATGCTGAATCGAATACAAAGCTTAAGTTCCAGCCGAGCGTCGGCCTCACTCCCTTCCTCCTCAAGTTCGGCGAGGGCATCGAGGAGGTCCCCACCATGCGCATGTATACCTCCGCTTTCACCATCGGCATGGGCTACCTCCTCGGCGGCCTCATCCCCCTTCTACCCTACTTCTTCATCCAACAGGCACATGTGGCGCTCATGTGGTCTTGCATCATCACTGGTGTCATTCTCCTTATTTTCGGTGTTGTCAAAGCGCGTGTGACGGGTGCGGCGGGCTCAGGCATTGGTGGCTATATCTGGGGTGCTGTGAGCACGCTGATGGTGGGTGGCGCGGCCGCGGGTGCAGCGTATGCTATTGTTGCGGCGTTAGAGGGTGCATGACATGGAGGCGTATGTCCTTGTTTGTGTACGAGATTCATTGTTTGTATTGGTGCTTTAGCGCTTGGATGTATTTCTAGTCTGGTACATAATTCCTCCCACAATAGAGGGTTTTGCATATGTCAATATAGGTCTGATAGCACGCCTCGCAGCAAAATGCGATGTTCCTCGTACGAGGGGAACGGTTCTTGTACTTGTGACCGAGAGTGTATGCAGGTCACGGTCACATCGCGTTCCTTTCGACGACGACCACGGCGCGCCCCTTGCTTATGTGCCTCTGTTATCTCTTACCTACCTAGTACTGTATCTGCATTTTATGGGCCAGTGCAACCTTGCAGATCGCGTTTCCTTCGGCTCCTACTGTTTCGGAGGCATCTGACTTCCTCGACCTTGAAGACGACTCAGCAGGACCCAGCTGACGGTCTCGAACACAGAACCGACTAGTGCCTAGCTTGCCATACCCTACTTGCGCTACCATACCTGTGCTGTGAGCCGGCGAATCACCATCAATCCGCCTTACCAGGGCCGTGGTTGAGCCTACCTTGCCTTACCCTACCCTACCCGTGCTGCAACGAGTCAGTCCACCATACCTGCACCGCAGCCAGGTGCTCGAGCCGTACTGCTACGTCAATGATCTCTTCACTTCTTTCGTCCAACTGACTCGTCCCGTCTTCTGGGCTTTGGGAGATCTCGGCTTCGCCGGTTCACGTCGGGAGGAAGCTGCGATAATATCTAAACTCCCACTAGCGACGGCTGCATTAGGCGGGAAGTCTTCCGGCTTTCTACCGTATTCTACACATCCTGCGTGCCCTGCTAGGGGAGGGAATACAAAGAGAAGAGCCACGATCTCTATACTCCCACTAGCGAAGCCTGTGCGGCGGGAAGCCTTCCGGTGTTCTCCCGTATTTTCCACCTCTCCATCACATCTTGCGTGACCTGCTAGCGGAGACAAGAAGAGTAAGGTGTTCGGTTCAAGTCCGTAGAGGCAAAAATTGGCCAACGCCGGGGTCGAACCGACGACCTTGGCGTTCCGCAATATTAGCACCACGCTCTAACCAACTGAGCTAGTCGGCCGTGGAAAGTGAGCAAATCCAGTCTTTAGCAGAAAAAAATATAAATATCAATCTTAATAGTCGGACGAAGGTCAGCGAAGGCTATCATCCCAACTGCGCTGCATTCAACGTTGCTCATACTTTGCCCTTGATATATGCTGACGGCTTACTTCGCGAGTAGTGGACGCGGCACCTTCACACCCTATCGTTTCAGGTGAGGTGCAGACCCCTTTTCTCAGTTCGTTGTTTACGCACATCAAGTCTCGCTGACGGGCTGCTTCTCTTTGTGCCAGTTATTACGGACTGTATTACAACAAAAGACAAGCACCCCTGGAGACAGTCTGGCCAGCCCTATGGTCACGGTCCTAGACAGTTTCCGGTGCCTTCAAATCTTCTGGTCATCTTCCTGTTTCTCGCGGCCTCGTCCTGATGTCCAGGAGCACTGGTCCAGGTATGTGTGCCTCCACGAGCACCGCGTACTTTTGCGGCTCCTTCAGGCAAGACTCACTCCTCCGCTTCTCACGATCAAATAGCGCACCTCTTGATGATTCCTGTTACCAAGGCTTGGCGTCGTGGTACATCCCAACGATAGACTTTTAGAGGTTCACACCCCAGCCCGCTGGCTCACTCAGAGGCGGGTGCGCGGAGGGGGCTCTCTTACTTCGGCGTGTGAGCAAACACCGATCCTCGAAATCTCGTTGTCGAGGTCAGAAAAGTCTGTGCTGGACGCGCCTGTGTCTAGGTTGAGCGACGGTAGAAACCAGGCGCGGGTCTACTATACCTGGGTCTGACTTGCTCTTCTGAATGCTCTTCAAGCTCGTTTTGGGAACGTTCTAGCTTTCCACATATGATATCTATCTCGATAACAGCAGCAGTCTACGCTCTCTCCCTTATCGCCATTAATTGCACTCCTGCGAGCACGGACCGCGCTCTGCTATCTGGACCGGTGGCATTGGCCTGTATCATACACTGGAACGGCAAACTGGTTGCTCTACCTCCATCTGATCTTCTCCTGGGTTCGATCCGTTTTCTCATGCTGGCAAGATGGACTCACCTCGAAATCGGGCAACGGACGATTACTTGGACAACCAGCATGTTCGTCATTGTTCTCTGACATTCCTACGCACCTCTATTCGAGAAACTCGGTACATGTCTAGACTGGCTATCTGAAGACGCCGTTAAGGGAATAAGCCTTGGATCCACGGTACGGCGGAGGTCAGGATATAGCGGAGTGAGTCTCATTGTCTGTTCCGATGATTCCGAATTGGAATATGCCTACATTCAACACCTTCGTGTAGGCCTGCAATACTCTTGAGTACTGAGTACTGACATCTTTCTTGTTATTTGCTCTAGAGGCGTACATAAGCTGTACTGCTAGTCTCACTTAAAATATGCATCACTTGCTCCTGCTTCTTATGGCAATAACGTCTACGATGACCTGAAAATGACCTGCCTGACTATATCTGCGCGAGGCCAGGGTTGCATTATGTAGGGTAATCCAGCGATGACCTACTTGCACTCTGGACAAGCCATCTCGTTTCTTCTGCGAAACGAGTTCTTCTCTGACTCATCAAGCTCCGAGATCTCGATTAGAGCCGTCCATACGCGTCGGCCCATGCCGTGGCCTAGATAAACACGACCGCAGCAGGTGGCAGTCCTCAGGCTACTTTCCTCCTCAACCATCGTAAGCTATGGCGGGAGTTCAAGTACAGCAAACGAAGAAAATGCCGTATGGTACGTCTCCTGTCCTGGGTATTCGCAGGCGACTTGGCATCTTACTAGTCGATATCAGTCCGGTTGGGTAACTCTGGCCTGAAGGTGTCCAGGATTATTCTTGGAGTCATGTCCTACGGGAGTTCTGAGTGGCTGTCCTGGGTCATAGATGACGAAGATGAGGTGGCGAGGCATCTCAAGGCTGCGTATGTCTAGCTCCAGACTGCACGTTTACTGACTGACGTTTACCTTGACTCTTTTGCGGACAGATATGACCTGGGTATCAATACCTTTGACACGTCCAATGTGAGATGCGGTCGTCCAAATACTAGCTGCTACTGGCTAATGTATCGGACCGAATCAGAACTACTCCAACGGTCTCTCTGAGATTCTGTTGGGCAAGACCATAAAGCGTCTCGGGCTTCCCCGAGACGAGATAGTCGTCATGACCAAGGTGCGTGTTCCTCCATCCGTCGGTCTTATTTGATGTTCACGTATACTGCCTCAGGTTTTCGGGACTGTAGCAAAAGATTACGGTACCAACCTTACGGCGGCCGCTACAAAGCCCCTTCCTCCGGTTGATACGATAGGGTACGTCAACCAGCATGGCTTGAGTCGCAAGGTATGTCCACGCATTCTGCATCGAGTTGCGAAGCATACAGATTCTTATTTCTCCTTAGCATATCTTCGACTCGGTCAAGCATAGTCTTGAGCGGTTGCAGATGGACTATATCGACGTTCTGCAATGTATGATCATGGATACTCGCCGAAAGCAGATGTCTACAGCTTACACTTTCCCGTACAGGCCACAGATTTGACTACGAAACACCTATCGAAGAGACTGTACGTACCCTCTACCAATACTAGTGGTACCTATAATAATACAGTTCGCTCATTGACTCAGATGCAAGCCCTCCATGATGTGGTGAAGGCAGGCTACGTCCGTTACATCGGGATCAGTTCCTGTTGGGCGTACCAGTGTATGTGCATCTCTTTATCACCAAGACAGCAGTGCGCTGATCATGCCGCATATAGTCCAGGCCATGCAGAGTACGTCCGTAATATTGTTACCCCAGGTACCAGGAGCTCTGAGCAGTTACAGACTACGCCATTGCGAACAACTTGACACCCTTCATCTCGCTGCAGAACCACTACACTCTTTTGTATCGCGAGGAGGAGCGAGAGATGTACCCTACGCTCAAGGTACGTTCCTTACTCTGATTCGTCTAGGACACGACCTCGAATGCGGTTGCTGCAGATGTTTGGCGTCGGTTCGATCCCTTGGTCTCCGCTCGCTATGGGCCTGCTTGCTAGGCCGCCCTCTGAGGAGACTAAACGGAGCACCAGCGAGGAGTACGCTTACCCCTTGGAATAGACAGTATAATTTGGACGCTGATTCGCAGACAAGGTTTGGGTTTATTGAAAGATTGTTGCAAGTCAAGGGCTCGAATGAAATCATCGCTCGGTATGCTTTCTGAATACTGCAGTTGCGTTGTTGGTGTGACTGAGAATATTTCTAGCGTAGAGGAACTGGCGAAGAAGAGAGGAGTTAGCATGGCCCAGGTTAGCTTAGCGTGGCTCTTATCGAAGCCAGGTAAGTGCTGACTCTGGAAGAGTGCATGCTACTGGCCTATTCTGAGCGGTGTTATAGGCGTTACCGCGCCTATAGTGGGCACGACAAGCCTCAAACATTTGTATGATATGGCAGGTCAGTGAACTCGTATGCTGTATGGTGTCCGCTATATCGACAGGTCATAACTCACAGGTGCGGTCGATGTTCACCTCACCGATGAAGAGATCAAATACCTGGAGGAGCCTTATCAGCCACAGAACGTGTTTGGGCATGTATAATGGAACCCAGATATTATATGTCTCCTTGTACCGCAGGAAGTCCTGTCAAGACGCCAGTAACACTGATATTGGCATGGTAACTATTCGTATATTGGATACTAGGCAGATCCCGTAGCATTGCACGGACCTAGTCGGATTGAGCATCAACTTCCTCTAAACTCTGACTCGGTGGACAGTACTGACCTGGCAACCCGCTCTCACTGACAACATTGACACACTCGTATCCCGGAGCTGTCCCATTTGGAGCAGCGACGTTGAAGTTGGAGAAGTTGATGTTCGGACAGGGTGCGTTTGCGCTGCACTCGATATCGACAACTAATGTATCACAGCGGCGTCAGGATGGCAGGGTTATACCAAGGACGACGATACGTACCTTTGCTGCGTTGAGACGTTCCGGACCAGTTGATGAATGTCAGGTTGGAGAACTGCAGATAGGACGGGGTGTCGTTGCTTCCCGGTGTCAGTCGCCCATCGCAATCGCAGTAAAGGAATAATGAAGACACACCTGTGCCCTCCGTTTGTTTGGTACAGATGCAGCGGTACCGTGACTTGATCCACATAAACGTCTTTAGCGACGACGTTACTGACGTATCCGCCCCCGCCACCTCCCCCAGTAGGCGGGACATCGTTTACGGAAGCAGTCCATGATTTCAGGTATACCTGCAAACAATGTTATAGGTCAAGATTCTCGCTACATTGATGGGACACAGCTGCGACGTACACCGCTGCCCATGTTGGGTTGGATATTCGAGGGTAGCCGAAGGAGCTAAGGTAGGAAGGACTCAGGTATATGAGAGGCTATCTGGGCTGACTGCACTTACGGTCAGGTTCTGCATCACAACGTGGTCGACAATGTCGGACTGCCGGATCGCCCGGGTGAGCTGAAAATGCTGGAAAGTTCCTGATGAGACCTTACCAGGTTGGCATACTGCCCCAGACTGCCGAACGCGATGCCATTTCCGCCACGGCAGACGTAGTTTGCTACGTACAGGTTTGTGGTATTCTGCCGAGTAATTTTGGGTAGTATCGCATTATTTTGGGTTCAAGCGCAAATACGTACCCCTTTAATGGCCAAACAGTCGTCGCCGCAGGTTATCTTTTCGGGTTGGCGTAATCAACTGTCTCAGAATCTTCAGGGAAGGTACAGAATGAGATGTACGTACATCCCAATTCGTGAGTGAGATACGATCGCTGCGATACGTGTCGATACCTGAAATTGACGACTTCAGATGCTGAATGATCAGGAACAACCAAAGAAGCCGCATACCGTCAGTGTTCGGTACTACGCTTCGGTCCATGTCAGTCACCTAACGAGTGTATCTCGGAGTTTATGAAGATACTTACTTGGTGCCGAAATACGCGGGGTCGGTGTTAGTCGCGTTGCAGTACATCCCGTCGTACACCACATCCTCCGAGTCGGCGACGGTGTTGCACCAGAAGGGCTGAGCCTCGATTCTG